TATAGTATTTTGTCTATGCACGTCAGTCACTGCCGGCGGACAGCGACGCACTAGCTAATTGGTTGAATGCATCCCCGCCCCGCGTCCCCCAAACCATCAGGAGGGCCAAGCTTACGGCGGTTTAACTATAGTACCACTTATTGTATACACAATAACTGAATTTATTTGTCTATATATTATGATAACTAAGACGTGGGCATAAAATAGTACAATCAATCGTATATGCTTATCGAAATTCAAATCGTTTATCACCCTGACAGTATTTTTTTCCAAATGCGAATTCAACACAATGACTCCCGTGTACAGATGAAAACAAAATGACCTCTGTATGTACGGTGAATTATAAAAAGCAGCAATGTTGTCAATATTAGGAAAATTATTTCCCGTCGGTTTTGAACAACTGCGTTCAGAATTATACCCACGTAACTAACACTGAGTAACGAAATGTAATAATTTTGGGACAACATTAATATGAATTTTAATAATTTTATTAAAAGTTCTAAACAATAAATTGTATTACTATTTAAATGATGGACTAAAAGAGACCTAAATGACTACAGTCAATCTTATGTAAGTCGACTAATAGTCGTAACAATTACTCTTTTATTAATTAATTTTATTGGGACATTAAAAAATTGTATGGATGATATTTTATAAAAAAAATCCCAATGCCATTTATACTATGATTTGACGAAAATATTAAATTATTTATAAAAAAAAGATCCTATTAAAGACTAAACATAGATGTAAACATGATTAAAAATATGTGCCATAATATTCAAATTTTAAATCTGCTATTAAAGTAGTGGGACAAAAAAAAGTGCCAAATGTACATTTTTTCTGAGTATGACCCGCTAAACAATGCTACTTTCAAATAAAACACATTAAGACACATCTGCATAACCCTTTTCTTTTATCAAATATTTATGATCTAGACAAGTTTAAAGCATTCAAATTTGACTGAGACAGCATAGGACATAGCAAATTTATATGGTTTGTAATATTAAAATAAAAGTTTTCTTTAACAAAGTATGTTGAATGTAGATTTTATGCTTCATTTTTATGGAGAAACATATTTACTAATCGCAAAATAAAACAACTGTATTAAAAGTGAGAGAAATAGTGATCAATGCTTTGGACCGCCGTTTGTAATATTTAGCGAAAATACCCATTGACCTATAAAATAGCATCTTTTGGAAACCTCATAAATTACATACACTTGAGAATAATTGGAATAAAATGAAAATGACTGTGGTTAGAAATTAAACTTATATATGTGGCAACTACGTTTGTAGCCTTGAATTGAAGGTCTTTCATTAAAAAGAGTTTACAGTTTGGCAAAAAAAAACAACTCGGTATTCCATAACAACCCTTCATACTCCCCAGCCAACCATAGAGCTTGACTCGAAAGAGATCTATCTCTCCCGTTGCCTTTAGTGCAAGATTGTGGCTTTTGTTCACTCTATGGACACGATACAAATTGTGTAAAGTAACTGAACTGAAAAGACACCCACAAATCATTTCATTGTAATGGTATCCATCTCTCTTGAAGTATCTAAGTACTATTTGTTACCTGAGTATTGGATGAAGGAGTTTAACAATTATAGGTCCAATAATTTATTAATTTTATATAAATGTGTGATGTGAAATGATGACATAATTTTTTGTATTTCATTAAATTTGCCATTCGTACTGTCTCCTACATTTGCAGTGATCAACAGGGTCCATAATTGCTAACATTCCTGGTTTCTTAGACCTTTTATAAACATAATAAAGATGAAGATCTAACTCGTTCACCTTATCTAGTGGTTTAATTTACCTTGGTTGTTTTAATTCACTCAATTGAAACTCTCGCTCGTATAAGACTTTCAGTCATTCGTAAATTAGTGTAAACACTTCATTTCACTTTATAAACGTAACATACAAAAATTCAATTCACTAGCACTCCTCAATAAAGTTTTAGAAAAAATTCTCTTCACCTGCTTGATTCTCCGGTCTTGAAAATGGCTTTCAATCTTTTATAGAGGACAAAATAAAAAAAATTATGATTTTTCAGATCGTTTACTTAAAATTAATGTCCATTCGGCTTTTACTATACTCCGTTTTTCTTTTTTTTGTACCTACACAGGCAGTTCGGTCATCCCCACTTTGGAATCATTCATCACTTTTAGATAAAGTTGTCAAAATTATTCAAACACCCTCAGAGAACCTGGCTGGAACCAAGCATACTTACCAGTTCGTTTGGGTCAACACCTACTTGTTGTAGCTAATGCTAGCTATTTTAGCTAGCTAGTTTATTCAAGTTCATTCAGTCGTATGCGACGTCGTATGAATGAACTTGAATAAAATCTAATATTTTTTTCAAACAGTACATGCACAATAAAATTTTCTTTTACATAAGTAACCTTGGTTTTATTTTTCCATCCATATTAATTTTTATTGTAATTTTTAAATTTGTCTTTCTTTGGGTTTAATTGTAAATTTAAATTTGTTTTTAATTTGGGTTTTAGCACATACTCGATGAGTGCATTGATTCTGTAGCCGGTTCTTAGACTAATAGTGGTAAGTGTAATATTTGCATTCAAAACATACTTTAGGTACAATTTTTTTTTTCTGTGCGGTTCTCACTTCGGATACCATACCAGTGGGGTGGTTATGTCGGACTCGAACGCGACTAAAAACTGCACGCCGTCTCCAGGTACCAGGGGAATTGGGGAATCAGGTATACCCTAGAAAGGAAAGCTATGGTACCCTCACCGTACCTTGGGCCATCTGTGGCTTATAGATGACCCTATGGATTTTGGCGGGCAACAATGGCCTTAGGAACCTCAAGGCGAACGGGACAGCCTAATAGGATGAAGGTGGGAGGTGTGAGCTCGCTGAGGCCAGGAAAGAGCGTATCAAAATGGGTAAAGTGTATGTGAGCCTCGGTACTGCAGGGAAAAAACTCGCACTTTTCTGGATTCACCTCAAAACTTTTGCGGGTCTATCACGTATGTGGCATGTGGCATGAATAGGTGCCTCGCAACGTCGACGCGTGCCAAAACCCAAGTGGTGGTTTGACTGACCGCTAAGTAAGAAGTTACACAGCTTGGCCAGACTACCCATTAAATGTTGCCCGTTTTCGCCCGCCGCGTCAGAAGTGAGATCTATTAGGTGCTCCGGGCGAATAGCGGCTAAACCTGCCGCGAAACCACTATAAAAAGAGTTAAGCGCTAGAGCCACATCCTCTGGTATAGGGGTGACGAATGCGCATGATGCGTCAAGCGCGCGCGGGATGTTAAGCGGGCGCGACGGATCGGGGTGCTTAAACTTCAAGGCAGCTAGGGTCTCATGACACCTCTGAGCAAATGTTTCGTTCGACATCAAAACGCGGACGGTTCCCCTAGGGTCCCTCTCAAATACCATATTTGAAATAGTTTTTGTATGGAATCCATGCGATTTTTTTTAAATATTGTTCGTAATTATTTTAACCCGGTAATACGAGAACCATGGATAAAGAGCTTTTACTACATAAAAATTATGCGCTTTTTCATACTATTTATTTCCTTTTTATATATTTTTTTTACATAGAAATCAAAAACCACTCACTACTACTAAGTTACTGTGGGAAGTAATTAAAATTGCTTTTAATTATGTTCCTTTTAGTTAAACCATATTCTGCTAAAACCCAATAAGCGAAAACTTGTTTTATATTTGTAACTTAAATAATGTTTAAAGGGTTGACAAAATAGTGCTACCAGATATCGTTAAAATTGTCCGTGTGGCGACGGATTCAGAATCCGGCAAGTCACCACCCCTATTCATCCCGTGGGTGTCGTAAGAGGCGACTAAGGGAGCAAACTACGCAGGACAACAGCACTGCAAAGAGAAGGAAAACTTGAAAAAACCCTCTACCAACCCGTCTGGCCAGCGTGATATAGTAAGCCAAAACCTCCTTTCTAAGGAGAGGCCTATGTAATGCGGTGGACTATTAACGGATGTTGTTGTTAAAATTCACTATAGGTATAGGCAGTCGGCCAGCTTTCCCCAGGGAGTGAGTGCCGTCTGTTACGAGAACGGCTGGGGCTGGCTGGGGGGCCTGGCTTCCAAGAGGTCCATGAGCTTACAGAGTTTTTCCTGCGTTTTAATATCCTGGTGGATATAGATACGAGGGTGTATGACCAGACTTAAGAGATCTGCCAGGGTGAGAGTGGGGAAGACCGGGACAAGCTCGAAATGCAGCGAAATGCTCACTGACAGGCAGTGGTGCAGTGGCGCGCGCGGTTAGAACTGCAGCGCAATGCGCGCCGACGCGCTGTCGGTGCCGTTTTGCCTAACCTTGAAGCTTGGGTGGGTAGGGAGGGAGGTCGCGTCACCTACCGACTGAAGCAGGTACTCACTGGCATAGCTGCTTTGGTGAGTACCTGAATCGGATTGGACGCACACGGACGCAGAAAGCACATTGTTAGCACTGCGCAGTCGACTGGGACTCCGCCCAGCACACACTGGAAGACTGCCCCGCGTGGGCGTCTGAACACGAAGTCCTGGTCAATAAAATCGGACGAGACTTGTCCCCACCAGCACTCATGGGGCAGTGGTCTCTTTCTGTAAAGTTGTAGTGCTCCAGAAAAAGCAGGCAAGGAGCAGGAGATCCGAAGGTATTTTCCACCCCATAAAAAAAAGGTATAGGCAGTGAGCTCTTTTCCTAGATAGACGTAAATAAAGTTCCAACTGTAAAGTAAATAAAATTCATAATATTGTCCAAAAAATATATTTTATTGTAGTAGACAACACGAGGGCGCGCGCCCGTAGCCCAGCCCGCACCGTGCGCGCGTCCCACAACAACGCTTCGCTATCTACGTCCAGCTCTCTGTTTAATAATTGGAATAGTTTATTTAATAATTACAACGTTCTTTTATCTGTCCATATTTTAATATTAGGTATAACTAACTTCGTCTTGTATAACTTGGTGTAAGAACAGCCTTCAGGAATTGAAATAAGGTGGCGTAATACACGCCTCACAGCACTGTTTCCATTTCTACTCGTGTCCGTTCTCTGAAAAAGAAGACAAAAAAATAAATAACCTGATATAGCTACATGAGTTGTTCTGTCCTTGATAATAGTCATCAAAAACACAAATACAGCACACCTCGACCATAGCCTTCGTTGCCTCAGCCCATAAACTAAATTTGGAAAGAAAAAAGTCGCCTTAGTTATTTTACTAAGTTAAATATACTGTAGCCACCACTGGTAGGCAGAATATAGAATTTATCTCCATAGTAGGCTTTTTAGTTTTAATATATTGTCTGAAAGACAATCGTATTCGAAATAAGCGCATTGATTCATCAAGAGATTCAGCTCCCGTTTCGGCTTAAATAAACCCTAAAAAATATTATTGATAAGCAAAACCTTTTGTTTATGTCTTTGGCATGTCAACAATTCTTCGAATTTTCTTCCTGACTTGACTTGTGTTTTCTGTTAACATGACGTAATAGCACACTATAAATTGGTCCGTTCTACCTATTATAATCAAATCAGACCTAGGTTCGTCTAAAGTTGATGCAGTAGGACGTTGAATATGTATCATAGATTTCTCGTGATCGTTAACCCTCTGCAAGTTTGACCATTGTAAAGTCATTTTGTGCAGATTCAAAATTTGTACAAAAGTGACATTACGAGCATCAAACAAATAGAAATCGTTTATTAGGCTTGATCAGTTGCAATCTTTATTGCCATGCTGGCGGGTGAGGATGGCTACGCCTCTTTTTGTGAAGCTGTAATGCTCCAGAAAGAAACCGCTGAACGTGATCGGGAGGGGACCGACCCCGAGCGAAGAGGACGTCGGCGGCGATACCACGCAAAAATGCGAGCGAGCCGTGACATGTTATGATAGGGCCAACAGGCAGGGGGAAGTCTGTCGATCAGGTATCTGGGGCTCGTACTCGATGGCCGATGGGACTTCGGATATCATTTCCGAGGTCTGGTCCCCAAGTTGGTTGGGGCGCGCGTGCGTTGGCACGGCTGCTGCCAACATGAAGGGATCCGATGACTCCTGCAGCAGAGTCTACTCGGGGGTTGTGCGGTCCATGGCCCTTTAAGGGTGCCCAGTATGGGCAGGGGCCCTGAAGGCCAGCAACGTCGCGATACTGCGACGACCGCAGCGAGTGCTGGCCATCAGGATCATAAGGGAGTACCGCACGATCTCATTTCCACTGTGGGACCTGGAGGCGAGAGCCCTTGTGGCTCTGTATCAGTGGCGCAAGGAGGCGCGGAAGTTGGGTCGGTGTCCCGAGATTCGAGAAATCAATGGCCGGAAATCCCAACTCCACCAGGTCATCATAGGAGTGGAGGAAAAGACTCGGGCAACCGAGCGCCGGGCACGCCGTTATTGCGGCGGTAAGACCCGTTATGGAGGATTGGCTCGAGAGGTGTCACGGGACCCTCTCATACCGACTGACGCAGGTGATCACTGGAAAAGGATGTTTCGGGGATCACCTGTGTCTGATCCGCAAGGAGCCAACGCCTGAGTGCCACCACTGCGATGGCCAGACCGTGGACACGGCTCTCCACACGCTGGCAGAGTGCCCGGCGTGGGTTGAGCAGAGGCGAGACCTCGTGGCGGCCATCGGAGTGGGAGTTCTCTCGCTCAATAGCCTAATTGCGGCTATCGTGCGGAGCGAGAGTGCGTGGAACTCTGCCGTCTAATTCTGCGAGCAAGTTATGCTCGCGAAGGAGACGGCGGAGCGGGAACGGGAGAGGTTTAGAACTCTCCCGGCCCGCCAGGCCCGGGAACGGGCCAGGTACCGCAGGCGACTCAGGCGCCGGAGGTCGCAGACCGACCTCCGTCCTTCATAAGCGCAGGCCTGGGGGTGACAGGTGAGGCCATCTGTCACCCTAGCAGAAGCCGGCCGGGGTGGCGGCGAGCGCGTTGCGGAGCGCGCTCTCTTCCAGGGAGCAGAGAGAACATGGGGTTCCCACACGGAGGGGGGGTCGTCTACTTGTTGTAGACTGCCCGAGGTATGTCGGGGCACCAGGGACTTCCTTTTTAGGGTATACCTGGTTCCCCGGCTATTAGTACCCGAGACGGCGTGCGGTTTTAGTCGGTTCGAGTCCGACATGCCACCGATAGGTGGTATCCGAGGCGATTTCCGCACGGAAAAAAAAAAGGGGGAAGTCTGTGGGATTTTCTACCCGTCAACAAATCAGTTATATTTCAGTACGACAATAGTTTTGAAATACAAATCTTTATAATGTAGAAATACGGTAAGCCTATATGCAATTATTGAATTATATGTTAATTATTGTGGATAATATGATCTTGTAAATAACTTTGATTTGAAAATATTCCTCAGAATAAAGAAATATTGTCGTTCCTTAGGATAGTCTAAGGCCGGACGCAAAACACTCACGTCACTTCTACTCAGTGCCGCACTCGGCAGCCAACAAGGCCTCAATTCTGCTATTTTAATATGTGTACCTAAGGGCTCTGCCAAAGGTTCCACAGTCTTTTGAGCTCTAGTAATGTACTTATGCAATTTGAACATGTGCAGGCCCACTGTTGAACAAGAAGGTCTTCCGCATGTCATCGTGGTTGGATACAAGACGAGATTGACTTCGAGCGATTAAAAGAATTCGGGCATCCATACATGCAGCCGCTGAACTGCATACATACATTTAGATGTTGCCGCCATTTTTGCATCGCCGCCGTCGCGTCGTCTATAGTTGAGTGATCAGTGTTACCAATGGTGCTCCAATTCGTCATTATTTTATTGTATTTATTTTGTTCTAAATTTGCATTTTTTCATTTTGTATTTTTTTTAATTTTAACCGACTTATATTGAACTGTGTTATCTATGATTCGTGTATATCTTGTCATAACTCTGGTACCACGGTGTATAAACCAGAAGATACTTTGTTGTAAAAAATGAAACTGGAAATAAATTAAACACTTTGTATACAGGACCGTATATTGTTATAAAAGACCTTGAAATTAATGTTTTAATTGATTATAATGGAAAACATGTTTAGTACATAAGAATAGAACTAAATTATAAAAGAAACCATACTTTAAGTTGGATTTCAAAAAAACTTTGTATTGTTTTTTTTTTAATAAATTGGGTGGTGTAGAGTGTAAGTACCTTTATAAAATCTGCATCAGCGATTCCTTACTATTGTAATAATTATAACATACTCTTGTGGCATTCAATAAACGTAGGTAAACCGAAGTGGTTGTCTAATTTATCCAAATCCTAAAATTACAATGGCAGTGTTTTTGATATCACCATTGATGACCTACATATATTACTACAAAAACAGTCTATTGATAATGTGAATTTATGTTAGTAAAATACTGATATTTTGACCGATGTCAAAGGCGTTACAATGGCACCTCAATAGCGTGTCAATGGAATGACATGGCAGTGGCTTGGCGTTAACATAAAATAGCAGAATTGAGGCTCTGAACAAATCGTCATACAATAGCCACTGCTAACAGTTGGGTCAATTCGAGTGCGTACTCAAATGTTCCTACAGGTCGGCGAATAGTAATACGTTTGTGTGTGTAAAAACATATGTTTAGTGACACCTAGCAAATTGAAGAATTTAATTTGGGGGCACTTGCAAATGAACTACACGGTACTGGTACAAAAATTCTACTGCTAAAGCAGATGTGCGGCGCGTCATTCTGCTCAAGTCACTATATAGTGAATTTTACAGGCGGCGTGTTAGCGAAAGTGTTAACTGTCATAGATTTATTTCACATATTTGTCAAAGAAAAATTAATTATTATTTCTTTTTGCTATTATAAACAATCTACTTCGGCTTCAGTCTAGTTTATTAATATAACTACAATTTTGGTAATGAACAATATAACTATGAACAATACAAAACCGTAAAAAAAAGGATATATAAAGTTCTAAAAAATTGTTTTGGCAAAATTTCGGCAACTAGGTTGTAGTTGCCGAAATTTTGCCAAAACAATTTTTGCCAAAACAAAACAAACCTTTAAGTATCTAGGTCGACGATTAACCCTGTATATAAGAGCATAAGTAAGCAGCTAAGACAAAAGTATTAGTGATGCGTACCTCGCACGTAAATCTCCGCAAGAGAGCGGACGATCGAGGTCTGGGAGCAGGTCGGCAGGCGGCCTTAGCGTACGCACGTGCGTGGCGTCATGTGCCTTGCCGCCTGCCAGCAGCTCGCCGGCAGAGGCGAGGCGGCGAGGAGGCGCTGCCAGGCCGTGCGCTGCCAGCGCTGCCGCCAACTGCCGCGCCCGCGCTACCGCCATGTCACGCTCATGCCGCGCTCGCCACACCTAGATATGGCCCATAACTTAATATGTATGATGCTTAATTTTAATATTTTGTGTTACTATAGTGGTTATTTGACAATGTTCCTGATGTGTTAACTAACTTCAGAATTTACGAAGAAACTAAGACTAATATACATACCCGTAAAATGTCGTCTTCCTTAAAATGAGAGCCCATGTTTTAAGAACATACTGTTGAAAATCGGACTTTACGGTGCAGCTGTTATGGCACAATTGCCATATAAATATGAAAATAAATCACCCTCAAGCATGATTTACCTGGGCGGCACAAACAGCGGAGCGACAATGACTCCGACCTCCATACCCACGCGCCGCTGCCTCCACAACGGCCCCATGGAATGTAAGTGATTGTCCTGTTGACAGAAGTATTACAGATTATACGATCTTTTAATATATATTAGATTATTAAACCATACTAGTTACCAGTTCTAATGAGCTACGATATGTGTAATTGCATACCCATAGACAAAGACACTAGGGCACAACAGGAGCCCGCGCTGGAGGCAGCAAGGTGTGAGCGCAGGTAACGGAAGTAAACATGCTCTAGCAGCAGCAGCAGCGCCGCGAGCAGAATGCCAGCCATCAACAACAGAAATGCTGACAAGAATTGTTCTAAAGCCAAGGGATCTGATGACTTGTGTTCTTGTTTATTAGGCTTACATGTACCTGTCATCCAGTACCTAGAAGTAAATGACACAATTATGTCTTGCAGGTGTTTTTTTTTTGTAAAATATTGTAAAATCAAAACCTGAATAAATATAGGTCATATCTCAGATATTTAGGTGGCTCAAAGGTGGCTAAGGAAAACTAAACATTTGGTTTAAAATATTAACACAACTCAACTTCAAGCTCAGAACAGTTGGTCCTGTACTTAAAGTTGAGTTGTAAAGTTCAGTAAGCGTAGCGTGCTACACGTTCGTAGAAAAATGATAATATACTCGTATACTAGTAATGGTTGTGATTTGGCAAGGATGTGGTGTGATTTATGTTAGAATTTTTAATACAACGTGTATTCGAGTATTGAGTTATGTTTGTATTTTTATAAATTAAATTTAGTGTTATTATTACTTATTATGTTATGCTTAGTTATGTTACTATTATTGACTTAATTTTTGTCATCAAACACTATAGGATATATGGTAAAGATTTTGCCATATTATTTTTTTTCAGTGACAAGAAACTGTTATTTATATCAACAATTTTCATGAGCTACAGATTATCCATAATTTTTGTCGTACATACCTTCGTAATCTTTCGAGGTCACCATTTGCTCTTAAATCGAGTAATCTTTTATTAAACATACTAACATATTTTGAATTACGTGTAAATGCTAGTCCGTATCCAGTCATGGCGTACCAAGACCCTACAGTTAAAAGTCTGCAATCCTCGTCCTGTAACAAAAGCATAACTGTTAGGTGTCTACCTTCCCAAACATACACTAACATTGTTCTGGCGATGGGCGTCTGAAAAGTTCTGGTACCACAAGGTAACGTATTGTCTAATAAGGATGGTTATAGTCTGAGCCATCTTTTTGTAAAATCGTCATGATATTTCAAATTGGAAAATCGCGCTATAATAAAATTCTATATAAAAAAGAAGCAAACACCAAATTATTTTTTTAAACAAATATCTTCAGTGTATTGAGAATCACGACCGTTATCGGCTATAAGCGGTGGGCACGATCATTCCAGCAAGGTAGAGGGGTTTTGAAAGGTCACCCCCATTCTGCGCGACGAAACACCGATGTCACTGGCGAAAATATTAACAAAGTGATAAAACGTTTGTAATCGTCTATTAAGCGTAGCAGATCGTAGAAGAGCGCGAATTAGGAAGTAAAACATAAGAAATGATTTTGCATATTGTATGAATAAAATTAGTGCACGTTGGGCGCCAAAATATAGATTTAAAAAACAAGAGAAGCGAGAAAGGAGTTTTGTTCTTGCAAGTTAATGCGCCAATCCATTCTGCACAAATTGTGAAGTCTTAGGCTGAAAAACATTGAGCTGTCACTCGTAGGTCTATAGGTGGGTAACAATTTCTCCAACCTGTTTAACATTTTGCAGAGCTTAGTACAGCATTGGATACCAGATGAAACGAGGCAGGCAAATGCACTAGGCGAGGTTGGTCGAGCCCCATGTGTCTACCGAGACATCAAGTGACATCGCCCCACCTCACCTGAAGTCTTATCTCCGTCCACATCAGGTTAATTCGAAGTTATTTTAATTGTTGTTGTTGCTGCAAAGAGATGGAAAACTTGACACAAACCCTATACCAACCCGTCTGACCAGTGTGGTATAGTAGGCCAAAACCTAAGGAGAGGCCTATGTCCAGCAGTGGACTATTAAAGGGTGTTGATGATGATGTGATGTCATGTAATTGTTCGGTACAAACTATTACGTACTTTTAATTTGCCCAAGTTACGAAGAATGCTTAAAAAAGTTATAAAAATTTTAGTCTAAGAACATGAAAAGTCTTGAGCCTTATTTTGTTAAAATGATTGTAAAATGAAGACATGAATTTTATTTTTACATTTAGATTCATAATACACTTACTTGTGATACTAAATAATCTAGTACAGTGCCATCGTAAATAAAAGCATCTAATTCAGCAGTAAGTACGCCTGTGACGCCCGCACTTACAGTACTTCGATTATATCTGAAAATAAATTTAAAATTAAAACACGCTGTTTCAGTCAGGGTCGTTGGGTGCAAAGCAAAGAAGTATTACGGAGTGTGTAAGGCCCGAGGAATTCCAATTTAAATAATAATGATTAACTTTAAGGAGGGAATTAAGTAAGCAGTTGCATGAAATTAAACATGAATATTCCACAAGGGTAGCGTGTTTCTTTTTTTTAAAGTGTCATATGGGCCTTTTATGATGGTTTTTGTACTTTCAGATATTCTTCTCTCGGTTACAGATTTGTTATGTATTCATAACCCTGAAAACTACTTTGGGTACATGGCAATCAAAATCACGATCAAAACTTTTATGTTAATGAACTATATATTGTGTACCTACAAATATGTCTAGGTTTAGAGAGGCTCGTGGCTATGTGGTAACCGAGTAGGTTAGCACATTGCAAAGTTAAGCAATCAGCCCAGGTTAGTCTATGGGTGGGTGAAAATTCTCAATATATTGAGACCCTTCCGTGCCTAGGAAAGCACCTTAAGCCGGTCGGTCCCAGTTGCCATACAAAAATCTGTGGCAATCGTTATGGGTAGTTGGGGCCCTAAAAAAGACCGACAACTGTCCAGTACTTGGGTTATGGAGGTCCAAAGACAGTCGCTCCACGTAAAATTCGAAATTTAGCCGTGTCGTAGTAGACTGAAAAGCCGATCCCAACCTAGTTAGGGAAAAGGCTTGGGAGATAATGATGTCTAGGTTTATAAAGTTTAAGGAACTGTAATAATTAAAACAGTGATAATGCAAACTTACCGACTCATATATGCATGAGGTTCAGTGAAGTATTTAGCGAGTGTGGCGTCTGTATGAGACCACGGCACTGTACCAAACTTCAGCGGCGGCCGCTGGGTTAGTGGCCGCGCTATCCGAGGATCATCTAAGCCGCTTAGTTCATGGAACTCCTCCCGCGTGATCATGAACGCGGCCAAGTTAGCAGTATAAATGGCAAGAAATACCACTGCAAACATCGCCCACATATTTGTCATAAATCTTGCTGTAAATCCTCGAGGGGAATCGACGTGTACTGATGCCTAAAACCATTAAAATACACTTGTCAACGTATACGTTTACCTATGTTAATGTTGGTTTATCATTATTTTTATACACCAACCTGGAATAGCACTGCCCAAACAATCCAATACGTTCGACACAGAGAAAAGCGATTCTGTGGCACACGCTTTGAATTATTGCCAGTAGAACAATCAAATCCACTCGGTGATAACCACTCAAAAAAGAATATGGAGAACGTCGCCGCTTGAATGGCGACGGCACCCACAAGCATCCAAGATGCAGTATCGAATGGCTCTAAGAAAGCTGTTGGAGAAATGATACCCGTTCGTTTCGCCACCACAATGGCGACACCCGTTTCCATAAAAGGTACACTAAAATCCACAACAGCTTCTCGGTCTGAATTTATAATTAATGATGTTAATACCTGAAAATGAAATAATATACCTAATAACTACCTTTTCTACCTTCTACATATTGTAAGTCACCCAAATTATTAGAATAAGATATGAAAAGCTGTTAAAGCGAAAGCGTATGCAAAGTTTAGCGTTAAGGTATCGGGACGAAGGAAAACTTCGCAAAAATTACGTGATTCTATTTACGTCGTTAAAATAGAATATTATTATTATTATTAAATTATTATTAAAATAAAATAGAAGTGTACTAAGAATAAGTTAATAATATTTTAGAACAAACAAAAGTAAACTGAACAAGTTATGAAATTACACCCACCATGTCAGTTTTTTTGTTAACTAGATCGGCTATAAGGCCATTCCATTTTCCTTGGTGTAGGGTACCCCAGCGGCCATCTTCAACGCGCACCAGTTCATACGTAAATCCAAGCTGTTCCGCTAGTTGTTGGAGAAGATCTATGCAGAAACCGCTGCAGCACTGATACAATGAACTGTTCCCATGAGCTGCTCCCGCCTCCAAACTAAACATAAGTATAATAAACTAGTCTAAATCCGAAAAACATAAAAAAAGTATCACAAACAATCTTTTCTAAAATTCCTTCTTTTAAAAATTGTACCAAATAAGACTTGGTAAAAACAAGTCTGTTTTAATTGAAAAAAATTGTATCTTATTATAAATAATAACGATCAATAAGATGAAGCGATATATTACATCAAATAGTTTTATGTTTTACGATAGTATTATGATGAGAATACTCGTACAAGTAAAAGTCTTTCTAAAACGGTCATGAGCATGGCGATAATTGTTATACTTTTAAACAGACATATACAATACAACAACATTAACTGCAAAAAAAAAAAGAAAACAAATCAATCCAAATAAAAAGATAAAAAATATCATCACCAGCCTTTAACAGTCCACTGCTGGACATAGGCCTCTCTTTAGAAAAGAGGTTTTGGCCTACTATGCCACGATGGCCAGACGGATTGGTATAGGGTTTGTTTCAAGTTTTCCTTTTCTTTGTGGTGCTGTTGTCCTGCGTAGTTTACTCCCTCAGTCGTCTTTTAGGACACCCATGGGATGAATAGGGGTGGTCACCACAAGAAAATATAGTGAGAAAATATAATAAAACATAATTATTTTTCTTATGAAATTAAAATTCTTTTTCTGGGGAATTAACAAGCAACTCAAAATAATCATCAACAAAAGCCTGAATCTTATTGAGTGTTATACGAGTATGCTACTTTTCAGTGATATAAATGTAACCAAAAACAATAGCGGTAAATGGATTCTCGGTCAGAAAAAAAATTATTCGAAGAAAAAAAATAGTGCAACGGTTAGAAACACTTTTTCTTATTAACTGGGTATATAAGTGTGTAAAAAAGTGAGTTGTCTGACAATTACTGAAAAAAAAAACGATAGAATATTATTTATAGCGTCACTGCTATGCTATTGACTCCAAATCAATTTACACGGTGTGTGTGACTATGACGGTGTAAATCGAGCCTTATGCTTACCTAATATATAGTTTCATTTAGGCACTTAACAATGACAATAATATATTTTAACAATAGAAAATATTTCGACAGTTATTTCATAGAATATTTTATTGACGAAAATAAAATTTATTATGCTGTTTAAGCATTTCACGGTGATTTACGTCCATTTGACTATTTAGTAGGCTGACCTCGATTCTGCAATATTTTTATTATCATTTTAAAAAGTAATGATTCGTTTTTTGAGTGCTTTACAAATGTTAAGATACGAACGGTAAAAGTTATTTATGAAACCTAATGGTTTTAGTAAATAGCTGTTGAAGTAAAAGATGTAATGTTATTTAGAGTAGGTAGGAATATATTTAGGTTAGGTATTAGTATATTTTTAGAAATATATAAAATAGGCCGAAAATAATTATCGTATTTGAGAAGACTTAGACGTTTGTATAAATTAATATAGGCCATTTTTTGCAGATCGCTTGCCCAGAGATTGCTGTCTGTTAAAGAGTTACCTAATTTGAAGGACTCCCTTATCAATTGTATTATTGGATTTGACATAGAACACATAGATTTAGAAAATGGTTTTACGCATTTTACGCACTGGTGTTAGTCTACACTGTAGACTAACACCACCAACACCAGTGTCAGAAGTCGTGTCGTGAAAACTAAGTCGTACTTCAAGGTGTAGATGGAATTAAAGTTGTAAAAAAATATTATTATTTTCTCACCACCACCAACGGAACAAATCACCATAGAAATCACTTCGAAACCGTAACTTTAAATGGCTTTACTTACAATATACCTACAAATAAAAAATAAAGAATGGTTAATAATTTTGTTTTAAACTCACCCAGCTACTTCCACTTCTGGTGCCACGCGACATATAACGCCCCGATCTAGGGAACATCGTCCGCTAACAGGATCTGGTGGCGCTAAATTTATGTACGGTGGCTCTTCCAGAAATGTAATGCGCATATGAAATTTCTCTGGCACTCCCTGTGGTGGAGTGTGTAATCCACCTGGCCACACTATATCCTTAATTATAAGTCTCTCACGCGGATAAGAATTCCACGTTCCTATTTCTTCCCATACCAACTGTCAAAATGAAAACAAATAACTTTAACAGTCGTCAAGTTAAACACCCGATATTACACAAACATATAAAATATGAAAAATTTCTGACTCGAAAATCCCTTCAATCGTTAGAAAAGAAACGTTTGAACTAAATCAATTTTTTTTTAAATTCACTTTTATAACAAGACAATTTCAACTCTCCTCTAAATACAAAATCCTTGGCTTTACCCCTAGATAACTAGATCTTTTTAAAACAAAAACAGGTAGTGATATAGGATAGAGGTGTTGGAGTCATCATTATCTTAGATTGTAATGTATGACTATAATGGCATATCGTTATATCACTATAAAGACATTTTACCTGCTCGCCTATGGCTGGACGAAGATTCATTATTTTCAATTCTGCTGCTTTAAGTTCACCGTCAGGAGTAAACTCTATACTTGGTCGGCCAGTTTCGCCATCAACGCTAACGTTGCGCAGATGCCTGTAGAATCTTTCACCAGTAGACCACCGGGCTTCCCCAGCCGCTGCCCCGCTGCAGGACAGACGAGTCCCCAGCGGATACCGTATATTCTCTGGCTCGGAGACATACGATTCTACGCCGTATGCAAATACTTTAACTGCTGTGGCTATTTCAGCGATCAGCGATGAACTCGATGTGTCGAAATGTACACCTGATTATAAGACCTCATATAAATCGCCTTATATAATCTTCTAACTCCATATATGTTAGTAGTTGTTTAGTAAACTATTAGACCAAATGTATTTTTTTATAAATACTTACCAAGCATGCCAACTGGAAATTTATTCGGTTGCTGCAACGACCCGAGGACGCTTTGTGTCACAATCCAGACGAAATTCTCGCCAGTAAGGTGCAAGTCACCAGCGGCTGATAAAATTTCGGCTGCTTCTTCACGTGTTGCATACAGCAACATGACGCGTGCTTCACTTGTCACCAGCTCGTTCAAATCCGCAGAACGTTTAACGACGATAGCATTTAAAATTGTAAATTTAAATCGATCCTGTAAAATTTAATTGTAAAAATTTATATTAGTTTAAGAAATAAAGACAGAAGAATCCTAATGATAAAATGTGAACAGAAGAATTATGTAAAAAAAATATACGTAAATTAGTTAGGCAAAAAACGATTTTTGTTCTATTGAAAATGTGAATTAAATTTGTGATCTATACAGTTCATGAATAGGAATCAGGGTCTTAAGTATTACAGGACAACTAAGAAGGACTGCGAAAGAGCGAGATAATTACGCGCATGCGAAGTGAGACTAGTTAAAAATATGTAAGTATCCTTAACTGCTTTGCTTGAATTCCCAATGAATAATTAACTGAGATGATAATAACAAATCTGTAGTCTTTTAAAAAAGAATTTTAATGAGATGTAAGTTATACATAAAATGTTAAACCGGTTATCTCTTTTCGTAAGGCAATGCAATTTCAAACCATTCGTAAAAAATTCGGTAGGAGTCGTGCCCTATCATGGCCAGAATTAAATTACCAAGTCCGTAGTTTGGTTTTGTGTGTTACCGTCTGATATATCATGAGCTCACAAAGTTTATTTATTGACAAGATTTTTGAAATTAAACAGATAGGTTAAAGGGGCACCTAAACAAAATACGAACAATGAACTTGTTGCACAATTAATGAAGTATGATTTGATACATACTTGGAGGGCAATAACTCTTTCACGTACAGCTTGTATAAAATCATCGTGGCCCGCAATCGCTGAAGTAACGACACTAAATTGATGCCACTTGTATCGTTCTAATATTGACAACATAGCGGCCGTTTGATGTTCAATAGACGGAGCTAATTGTAACCGCAAGGATGCATGTGATGCACGCTTTTCGAGGCCACTGTTGTCTGCATTCCACGCAATAACCTATGGATTAACAGATAATGGTGTAAACTGTTCATCTCACACACTTTTGTTTTATTTTATTTCAATTCAAATCACGAAGCTAAAATAAAAATGTTTTACCGGTATGCCGAGATAGCCGGCGAGTTGTAGAAAATACTGTGCAGAGGCAGTAGATCGCCCATATTGTTCATGATTCATAAGATAAAGGATAGCAGATACATTTACTGCTAGAAATTCTTTACATAGCGAATCCAGGATAGCTGAAAGCGTTCAGAAATTAGTAAACTAGATACTATGATAGCTAGCATTCATTACGATTTCAGATAGCAATGAAATTAAAGGGCATAATTATGTATACCTAATGTCAGATACTCATTACTTACACATAGGACTAGGCGTTAAGCCTTGGGTAGAAAGCGTAATATTTAGGCGCACATGCGAGAATAGTTTTAGTTTCCGCGGCAATTTTGATAACGCTGCCTTTTCCGCCTTGGTGTAATCACGCGTGCCAAAGGCTTTATGTGGTACGACAAGAGCTGCCGTGATGGACGAGGGTTGTCGCGGCGGAGGCGGCGCTGGTGAAGTGCGTGGGCGCCGCAGCCCGTCGACGCCGATGCGCACACCACCACCACGACCTGCGTCACGTGCCCCGCCTCCGGCAGCGCCGCCGCCCACTTTGATGCCACTGCCGCGCTCTGCCGCCATTGCCGCCGCCGCCGCCGCCAGCGCTCCCAGCGCCGCCAGCGCCAGCAGTGCTGTACGCGTCTGCATCTCCACTCTTGATGCTGTCATACAGTTTCCACTTTCATCACTAATTATCATATTGTGTATAAAATATATATTTACAGTTGTAACACACTTTTTGGCAATATTAGTTACTAAAAATATTAGAGATAAACCGGCGTAGTGTTTTAGGTCACATGCCATATAGGGTTCCATAGTTTATTACTACTCGATTTGAATAGGCAACAACCTCATCTAAGGGTTTTTTTTCCTAGTATTTTGTATGTTGTACGAAATAAAAAAAGGTACATTTTGTTAGTGGGGGACTTATATTAACGGCACAGAAAAGGTAACTTAGGTTATATTTATATTAAAGATTTTATTTAGATTATATTTTTTAACGAGATCTAAATAAAATCTTTATTAGAAGGACAAGTTGTTGAAGTCTAAATCAAGCGTAACAGTCGACGAGTTACCATATTATATTTTCTCACTAAAGGTTGAACACTTGAAGGTTCTTCAATGTCTGAACAGACCAATATCATTTTGGATCTATAATTATAAAAACTCTCTAAAAACTAGACTCAGAACAAATGAAGAATTTTAATCTGTAAATATGTGTCTGAAATATGTGTTGAAGAATTGTATAAAGTCACTCTCTCTAAGCTAAAATGCTATTGATAATATAAAGTACATACTAGCTATATCATATATGGTACATTTTTTTTTTTCGTGTGGAAACCCCCTCGGGCCGTCACCCCACCGGGGTTTGCGGCAGGGTGGTGTGTCGGAATCGGACCGACTAAAACCACACGGTGTGCCACTCTGGCACCGGGAGGGATCCAGGACTGCTGTTATTAAGACATCCGGAGCCCTCCTAGACCTATATGGTACATAACTCAGCCAACTACTATACTGTAAATTTAATTCAATTTAAAAACTTTAACACCATTAAGTCTACGGTGTTTCTTTTAATACTCCTTAGTAAGGATTACACTTATTGGCCTTATCTTAAATTAAGATAAGTCCAATAAGTGTAATCCTTATCTGGGCACTTGTATCAGAATTAATTTTAAAGTTGCTAAAAATTGAATAAATTTATTAATATAAATAACCATTGCGTTCTAATATTTCCCAAAACAATAATATTTTTGACTTATGACTAGAGTCAAAATTTACGTAAAGAAACTTTTGAAATTCTAAGCAACTGCCTTACCAACTTTGAAAACTTATTGGAGTAATCTTAAATTAAATAAGTCCAATAAGTCCTTATCTTAAATTAAATAAGTCCAATAAGTCCTTATCTTAAATTAAATAAGTCCAATAAGTCCTTATCTTAATTTAAGATTACACACATTAAGATTATTAGTAAAAGTCAAATAAATGTAAACACAACGCAGTTGCTTGGAATTTCAAGTTTCTTTACTTACATTTTGTCTCAAGTCACAAGTCAAAAATATTATTCTGCTGGGAAATAGGATGCCTTAATGGGTGTAAATACCTACGTAGATACATAACAATGACACAATAACTTGATTCAATTTATAGCAACTTTAAAATTAGTACTTCTACAAGTGCCTAGCACGTAAATGTAGATTTGGTCAATCAATTTACTTTCCTTTGGGATCTATCCGTTTTTAGATAAATAAAAACTATTAAATCAAGTTTTATGGTTAACTCGGACAAGTTCATTCTGACGGACGGCGGAATGAAAAAAGGCTTGTATTTTTCGACTATATGTGACTGAAAAAAAGAGATAAGTTTTGGAGGTGGTTAGAAACAAATGCAAACTGTACCTATACCCTTTACCTAGCCTATAAAATATAGAACTAAACTATGTTATTTTTATAATTTTAAGATAACCACTATCTTAAAATTATTACTTAAATTTAAGTCATTTAAGAAAATGATTGATACTTAAATTTGATTTCGAATAACTGATAGAGGTTTTCAATTTCTACTTACAGTTTACGGGAATGTCAATTGCAGTGCTGAAATGTATATATGACAAAAAAAATGGTCAACATCAGCAATGTAAAACTTGTAAGTTGCTGTTATATTAATTGCATGAAGCACTTTCACTACGATTTCACTTTCACATTAAAATTCCTAAAAGCATCTACTCGTACATGAGACTTGTATGGAACAACAACTGGTGATAAGATCTGTGCGAACAATACAATAACAACCAATTCACCCACGAAAATCCAAGTTCCCGTAGGTATCAATATATCTACGGGAACTTGGATTTTAGCCACTGTAAAATTGTTTCTACTTACATAAATAGTTTACTAAAGTCTTTATTCCTGCGGCGTCCTTTTTCCTACTTTTGGCTTTTTTTACCTCTTGTAACTTCTACACGCTGTTCGATTCTACAGAGAAATAATATATGTACAGATATCTTCGATTCTAAACTTCTTTTTACTATTGAGGAGTCGTTGAAGAAAAAGCGGTCATTAACATTAACTAAAATACATAGACATATACATGCTCACACATTAATGCAACCTTACAGCTTGGAATAGAGAAAACCATAGTACGGCATCATACAATAAGACCGAGAAGAAAGTATACGAAGTGTCTTGAGTAAAATTACATCACATACCAAGAGAGAGAGAAGTATTATGCGAAGTGTTATGAGTAAAATGAGATGTAGCTACTACAATAATTTACTTATTAAGTAAATTATTGTAGTTGATAGGGAGACAGTTTAAATGTAGGGCACGTCAGCCTAGAACGGTTTTTGAGACAGGGCTTGAGGGACACCCAACCCTCGCTAGTTTGTACGAGAGTCCTTGCTTTGAAACTTGGCATCAGCTAAGAACGAATTTTAGAACGGGAACGGATTAAGAAGTGGAAAGGCTCTGTCAAGGTTGTATAAAAGTTCTTGGTTTTTTTTGTACTAAAGACATGAAATCTATCAAGGATGTGTTATGTAGATAGAACAAGGGCTTAAAATAAACGAGTAATTGTGACTCATAGTAATTGTTAGTAGTACATTTACAAAAAGTAATCTGAACAGAATTCAATAGTTTTTCATAGCTACCTAATAACCATTATTCAGGGTTATTTTAAATTTACTGAAAACCTCTGAAGTGCATATTAGTAACATTATAAACAACAACTTTTCTTCTGGACTAACACCGAAAACGAAAGAAAAAAAAATGTTTCTCCATACAAACTACATAACAACATTTGATTGGTCATTTGAATGGAGGACCAATTTTTATTTTTATTTTGACGTTGGCCAGAAAAAAAGTTGCTGTTTATAGTGTTACAAACACATACCTAAGAGTTTTACAGTGAATACAAAATCACCTATATAGAATTTCGTCTATGTAATATATTGTATTATATAGTGGGTATTGAAAGATCCGCCAAAAAAGTCACGGATACGGATCTCTCTTCTCCCTTGGATATCCGGCACGTCACTATTCTGGAAGAAATAAGTCATTTAAAAACATTAAATAAAAAACAACAAAAAAGGACATGCTCGAAATAAAAGAAGAAATAAAAACTACCATTAACAAACAATATTAATAAAAATTTAGGAGCCTGGAAATTAAGAATGAAAATTTAGAGAATAAATTGAAAGAACATTCTTCATCTATTAACCATTTACTCTAGTAAGATACACGAGACGTAAAAACCTGGTGACTATCGGGGTGGAAGAAAACAAAACTCGTAACACGACTTAGAAAAGAAAATACAACAGAAATTTGATAACTTAAACCTCGATAACGTTATAACCTCTATAAATTCATAAAATTTTGTGTTCCCTTCCCCTCGGAGCCCAAAACCTCTTTTACTTAAATATGAACCCTCTATAACTTAAACGAATAATTTAGGTATCGCAACTCAGTAACTCAAAAAATGTCAAAAATGTTAAATACTGTTAAAAAATTTGAGACCAGTAACAATTACGTTTACGACATTGGGACTTCAAATAAAAATTGAACAATCTTAAATGTTTGAAAAATTCATCCTACTACATAAAACAAGTTTACCCTAAAGAAGTCCTGGACAAACGTACGAAAAAAGAAATAGAATTGGGCAAAAGAGCTTTCATAAGATATATAAACTTATTGTACTGCCGAACAATAAAGACACTTTTACGCAGAAAACAAGAGAACTATGTCTGAGTCACCTGAAACAAAAGAAAACTATAGCCAAAAACCTACAGAACACATAAAACAACCTGTAAAGAAAAGTAACACAAATAGAAATGTGTTTTCAACAATGAACTTACTTCCGATGAACAACCAGAGCTCCAAGAACATGAATAGCAATCAAATAGGTACGGCCCCTCTCGATCTCCCAATACAGCTAGTCCATAGTTTGTGAAACAAGACAAGATATGGAGGAGGCCTTTGCTCAAATATGGGTACCCAAAATAGAACAGTAACGAATCTATTGTAATTTTAAATTAATATACCTACGGGAAATCGAATTTAAATTAAATTATTTACGACAACTAGTTAATTTGATTGTTTATATATTGTATAATTCGATTGTTTTATAATTTATATGTAAATAAATAAATATTTAAACGTTTAGAATGAATAAATAGAATTAATGAATAATAAATGTCATATTAAATGTCGATTTCTAAATGTGTAATAGTAATTTGTAAATAGGAAAATAAATATCCAAATAAATACTCGTACATGTGAATAACAATAAATTTTAAATGATAATTAATTTATTATGGATAGATTGATTGATAATAATATAATTATTGTTAATAAAAATTATGCATGTAAATTTAAACAATTATTCTATGTACTAGTATTTTAATTTTACAATCTTATTTTGGGAATAAAAAGCTTTATTATTATGTTGTATTAAGGTATATAATCACAAAAAGATGCATGTAGCCGACAGCCAAAAGAGTAATATATGGACAGTCTATCATAGCCATCATATCTATCATAGCGGAACCTGTTGAGGGGAGCTGCCCCTTGCTCGCGACACGAATGATGCTGCTTGTTTGCTTATAGTGGAGTAAAAGCAGCCTCTACAAACATTCTCGAGGCACTGCATGGCCAGGGCAGCCCCATAAGTCTCCAGCAGGCTCCATTTGATGCCATATGATTATCCTTCCAAAATCTACACGTGTAAAATGTTGCAACATAAGCTTCAAATAGGATAACTTTTACCTCTGTGGGACAGTGTATAAACTTGCCAGCTATCATATTCGCCCGCACCGACAGAGCCCTCCTTCTCTTTTCTTCTCTTCCCTCCTTTACATATCGGTGTTATATTTAATCAATAGACAAATATATGAAATTGTTAAATAGGGTAGGGTTGTGTGTCTTGTCTTCACAGGAACGACTTAAGGTGGTCAAAAAATACTAGTTTCTTTAGGGTATTCTTTTAATGTTTTAAAGTTAGATATTAGGCAAACATGTGTTTAAGGTAGAAGAAGTTCTCTAGAAACGGATACGGAACGGAAGCTAAGAACCGCAGCAAATAAGGCAGAAAACATCGGCAAGGCGTGAAGCGAAATCTAGCGCGAAGCTTAAAACCGATCGAGATGGAGGTTTACTGTCAACACATCCTGGGGATTTTTTACATTAAGTCAAGTCTTTTTTGCGTCACACAGCAGGTCCTTAGTAGATATTTTGTATATTTTTGCATATTCATTTGTAATATGAATAAAATTAGAATGTTGCTGTTAGACTACTCACCAACAATGCTGAACGTGTGTAGCTTGATGAAGCCGTTATGGCACACATACTATAACTTTACAATTTGTGACAAGTATTATTGAAAAATGTTATCTTTCTATAACTCTGTAAGATTTTTCAAATCACGAATTGTTTCGCATATTAAGAGATAGATAGATTAGATATTCGTTTTGTTATACATATCTATTAAAACAAAGTAGATACATCTTTTAATTTATTAAAAGTCACAACATTACAACAGTCTCTTTTCAAAAAACAAGGCTCGTAACCGTAAGTTGCTATGTCAAGGACACTGTCATGACAAAGCACTGCTTAGCTCACTGAGGTCTACTGTGTCTGAGTAGTAAATATTTTCGTTATGCTACCATTCGTTTTTTTTGCATAAATGACTCCTACTGACCTACTCGTAAATGACAGCAAATATTAAGGCGCGCGAAGCGACTTTCTGTAAGAACTGAAGGCCCATACTGGTAATGAAAGTTCGGTCTCAATTCAGTTCCGATCACCTTTCGATCTCACAACTGTCATAAAAGGTATTTTTGGAGTAAAGTATTAAACATCTAACGTTGACTGTAACGAGGTTATATCGTATTGTGATCGAGGATTGAAACGGTAATCTGCTAATCTTAGTAATACTTTATTATTTTTCTACGAAAATACCTTTTATAACAGCTGTGAGATCGAAATTTGATCGGAACAGAATAGGGAATATGCACGTGACACCGAAATGGACAAAATATTTTTATTTGTAATTTTTGTTGCTAAAAAAAGATACCCATACAATTATTTTTGAAATTTATTATAATTTTATAGTGAAATTTAATCATCAAAAATTGGCTTTTTTAAGATTCCCTCGCAAATTTCTAAAACGCAACGCTATTGGTTGAATAAAACGTGACGTCAACCTACACTGTCAAAAGTGACAACAAGTTGTGTGTATTTGTAATATTTGGTTTCTGGTGATTATTTGTTTCATTTTAAGTTAATAACTAATACGTTTTCAGTGTTAAATTATTAAATTCCCGTGTAGAAAGACTCAACACAATGACTGAATATTTAAAATTGCACTTTGTCAAGTGCAGTTTTGATATTATTTGGGCACAAAGGAACGGCACAATATTTATAATAAGTTTTTATTGACTTTTCCATGGTAATAAGTTAATTTTTATCACTCACTTTTTTAACTTTCACAAACTTTGTGAACTTCACTCCGTTGTTGACATCGAATTCGTCTGAAAGTGGAATCTGACGTCACAAAAAAAGCGCGCCAAAATGGACGTGTTCAAATTGCCCCAAAATGATAGTGATTTTAATTAATTTTTTTTTGCTTAACGGTTTATATTTCGGATGTGTTATATTTATTTTTGGTAATGTAATAACTAGTAGAATCGTTAAAAAAAATAAAAAAAATACATGCATATTCCCTATTGTGACCGAACTTTTATTGAGAGAATTGGCCTTCTGAAATGTCACAACTACAAGGTACGAATTTCTCAAGTGTTTTGTTTTGTTCATACGCATTTTGTGTACATTATTAAAAAAAAGTGCAACCAGAGGTGATTAAAAAAAATTACGCCTTCTTATCAATGTTGTTTTATTGGCAATAGATGGGTGTCGTATGCACAGTATCTACACCTGGAGCAAATACTTGTTTTAATATCTGAACTGCTCATCACCAGATTTTTTATGGAAATAATATAAATCATGTATTCTTCTAAAATAAAAGAATATACTTTTATTATGCCCTGTTTCAATGTTTTTGCAGATAAGTATCAACTATTTAATGAAAATACTTATAAATAAATAGGAGTTTGAAACTTTCCAAATGATACCTGAAACCAGAACCTGAACTAAATAGTATAAAGTCCAAACTAGACTTGCAACGAATATTCGGTTACTATTCGGTATTCGGCCTATTCGGCTGCTTTTATTATATTCGGCCGAATACCGAATATCTACATATTATTCGGCCGAATACCGAATACTTAAATAATATATTTTGTCATTGAGAAATAATTGGTAAAATGAAAATTTAAAATCGATTGATTACGTATATATTCATATTTTCATTTCTGTTATAATCATTTAAGTAGTCATTGGTGCATAACACAGGTACATAATCATCTTCTGAATTGGAAAAATGGAGGATTCTATGTATTTGAATTATTGTGGTAATCAAAATTTAGAAGGGTAAGGTTCTCATTTCTTTTATAATCATTTATTAAGTAGTCATTGGTACATAAACCAAGTACATAATTTAATTCACGTCTGTACAAGTTTTTGGCGCTAAAATCCAGCCGAATACTTTTGCCTAATATTCGGCTATTCGGTCAGGGGCCTCGCCGAATATTCGGTATTCGGTATACTGCCGAATATACTATTCGTTGCAAGTCTAGTCCAAACACTTGAAGGCAGTAGACACCAACATGCAAGGAGATATGAAATGTATAAATATCTATCTATCGTTACCAACTTTTAAGAATGATATTGGTAACTTTATTACGCTCCTTTAATTCATAATAGTCTTTTAAGTGAAACATTAAATTAGGTACTTTACAAAAAGTTAACTTAAACGATATACATATCTAAGATTCGTGACGGCAAGCATATCTACTGTCTCACAAATTGATGTCATGTAAGGTACCTACACACTTTAACTGGTGTGACCAAAACAGAACCAAAACCGAATAAAAACCATATGATGTTAGAAATCGGTATCAGTAGGCAGATACTAAATATACCTACTAGATACTAAACAACAGGTTCCCAATTTAAAGCTTTATCACAATTAAAACGGCTACCAATAAATTTCCATAGATAGGTGCGTATACTGCGTATCCATATTTGTAAATTGTGTGTAGTAGGCGTAGTAGTAGTAGTACCTATACGTAGATTTATGCAGGTAAGTGTGATAAGAAGCTGTAATTAGATATGTATTATTTTTCGTATGTGATTTATGCCGCTAAGTAAATGCATGTATTTCTCAAAGCAATCGAAAGCTTCACTGGGGATTTGATATTTGCCGAATTAAGTGAATAAGCATTATAAGTACATTACAAATAAAAACTATGAAATCATAATGGACGACTTGTATTGACTCAGGCGTAATAGTTATCAATTATAAACTTATTTATATAAATGTGGTTACAATATTATTATCCTTTCATAGATATTCGTTTATAATATCCGACTTGCCCGATTAATAAATTCGTAGCGCTTCGAAACATGGGGCAATATCAATTAAGACACAAGTATGTAATGTTAAGTTGGTAGGTACCTATAAGCGCGATAGACGGCGATGGTGACAGTGGCAGCGGCAGCCGCACGGCAGGGCGCGTGCAACTATCCACATAAACTTAGGTGGCGGCGCGGGCCAACATGGGGTCGTTCTGGGACGGACAGTGGCGCGGCACCGCGCCGCCTGCAACACGAGCTGTGTGCCACGCGTGTTTACGTAAGCGCCACGCCCCGAGCCACGCTCCCGCTATATGGGGGCGCGGCGCGAAGCGCGAAGCACCTCCAGACGCTGAGCGCCGACTGACGCGCCCTCACCCCGCGCGCTCAGCTTGACTTACGCCTGCGCTATGGTGTCGTATCGTGTCCTGTTACATAATACCACAGAACATTCAAATAGGTATCCCCTTTATCGGAACCGTACATGATCCACTTGATAAATGTCCTTCAATTTATAGAGTCAAATTGTCGTAGCATAAGCCAAAATAAAAGGGATTTGTGAGAAAAGCAAAGGGAAGGAATAGAAATAAATCAGATAGAAAATGATCGACTTAAGCTAATGTAGAAATAAGCATAAAATCATTACTAACTATGCAGGTGCCCTTAATAGTGGATAGTATCAGCTTATTTTAAAACAGACGTAGACAGAGGCAACTGTGTAAATTTATTTTTAAAATTTGTGTCGTCAAAGACAATAAATAACTTTGCTTTTTTCAACTCATGCTGTTAGCTAATGAAAAACGAGTAGGTACTGCATACTTACAGAATAGAACCATCTATAAAATATCGTGTAGTAGCACTTATAATATTGAGGCATTACGTATTGTACGGAAAACAAAAGTTTTGAAATGCTTGATCAGGGCCCGTCAGCAGCATCAAGCGGTTTACTTCACCTGCAGTCAGACCTGGGCCTCAATTCTGATATTTTATGTCTACGCCAAGCCAGTGTTATACCCCTGACACGCTATTGAGATGCCATCGAGTAGCCATTGGCATCGGTATAAATATCGGTAGTTTAAAATATATTACGTTTTTTGAGGAAGTGATTTATTTGTTTTTATTATAATAAATTATTAAAAGAAATAAATAAATTAAAATAACTTATTAAAAAAAAAGAAATAAATAAATTAAAATAAATTATTAAAAGAAATAAATAAATTAAAATAACTTATTAAAAAAAAAGAAATAAATAAATTAAAATAAATTATTAAAGAATAAAATATAAAAATTATAAAAAAAGAACTAAATAAATTATAAAAATAAAAAAATAAAAATAAAAAATCATTTCCCCAAAAAACGTAATATATTTTCAAATTATAAGGAAATGACTTATTTATTTAAAATTTTTTTTTTTTTTAATAAATTATTTCCTTTTTATAATTTTTATATTTTATTCTTTAATAATTTATTTTAATTTATTTATTTATTTTAATAATGTATTATAATAAAATCAAATAAATCATTTCCTCAAAAAACGTAATATATTTTCAACTACCGATATTTATACCGATGCCAATGGCATGCCACTGGCTTGGCGTAATAGCAGAATTGAAGCCCTGCAGTCAACTTTCACTTGGGCTTTCGCCCTATTGGCATTGCGGGTCTTTTTGGACAGGTTCGGCTGATTCGGCGCCCTCTTCTTAGTCCTTACCAGACTACTATCGGTATCTTCCTCGGTGGGCCCCGCAGGTGCGGGAATTATGTGTAATATATAAAGGTTTGTGTGTGAGAGTGTAAAAATATTTTTATTATTATCCATGCTAATATTATAAAGAGGGAAACTTTTGATATATTGTTGGTTTGTTTGTAATCAATAAGCGCCTTAACTGCTGAACCGATTTTAAAAATTCTTTCCCTTATAGAAAACTACACTATGAGCATATTCGATCAGAGTCATCAGAGTAACATAGGCTATTTTTATTTTGAAAACACAATGAAGTTCCTATAAAAAGACAAAAGTAAGGTTTGAAAAATTGCAAAAAATATATGCTTTCTTCGCGTACTCTGCAATACTATTGATACTACATACAATACGAAATATTTTGAACGTACTCAGCAATACGCAGAAATGAAAAATTTAATTAAAAATTTAAATAAACCCCGTTACACATCTTGGATTTGAAATTTGTCATAGTATATAGTAGTCTACTAGTCAAGCTCTTTCATTTGATACCATATGAAGGTTTGTGGAAAAATACATAATCAGCCATTTAGTGGCGGGGGCCATTTTGGACCGATTTTTATCAAACATAGCTTTTTCACTTCCGACTAATTCACCTTTCAAACAAAAAAAAAAACAAAATCAAAATCGGTTTATCCGTTCGTGAGCTGCGATGCCAGAGACAGACACACACACACACACAGAGAGACACGTCAAATTTCGTCAAAAGCGACGGGGGTTAAAAGGTCCGGGATGAGGTATATCTAAATATTATGGTTTAACTATAGTATATATAATAGAAATTAGTCAATGGATTAGTCAGTGGATAACAATTTGATTGAATTAAAACATTAAAAACATGAAATACTGTTTTTTACGCGTTTTTCTTAGGGGTGGGATACATAATGAAGACGTGTTAGGACGAGTCAGCATATGTGTTCCGGACAGATACGTGTGGCGGCGCCGCCGGCCGCCGCTGCTGGCTGTCCCGTAGAGTTGTGTAGCTCCTGAGTGAGTGATATAAAAGATATATATCATTCACGACGATAAAATCTATCACTCACTCACACTTGCTCCGAATATATCAGTAACTCACTACTAGCTCACTAGATCACTAGATCACTAGCTCAACGACGCCAATCTTTGTTTCATGAGCGAGTGAGACTAAAGATAAATGAGTGAGATAGATGATGGTTGAGTTCACGCAAGTTTCTTTATGCAAAATGTACATTATTTTTATAGGATCAAAGTTTAAAATTACTTAATAATTAAGCCTGACAAGTACAAGGAAAATAAAATTATGTATGATTTCTATTATAAAACCTAAAAAAAAGTACAAGAAATAATTTCTTAATTTTAATTATTATATAAAAGGCTGTTAATAATTATTTTATCTTATCAAAATGAATAATTTTATATTAAAAAAAATAGGTTAAAAATGTAGTTTCAAAAACTGAATTTAGGTTTATAAGAAAATAAATAAGGATTTGTAAGGCGAGAAAGTGATATACGAGTATACTGAGCTAAACGATCTAGATAAAGAAATGAATTAATTGAGAGACCAATCAATTGAATCGGATCAATGAGCTAGTGAGCTAAAGGAGTTAGTGAGCTAAATGAGCTAGTGAGCTAGATGAGTGATATATATCTTTAGAGCGAAATGATTTGTATCAATCTTTTCAGCTCAGTGATACATTTTGCGCATCACTACTGTCCCGTGCGGGCGCACCAACCTGCAGAGAGAAGCACCGCTGACGCGCGCACTACGTACTCTGAATATAGTTGCGGATGAAATAGATTTATTTTATTGCTCACTGAGTGAATTCACAATAACAGCATTAAGAATTATTTCTTACTAGCTGACCCGGCAGACTTCGTACTGCCTCAATTGATAAATAAAAGACCTAAACTTTTGTATAAAATAAACAAACAAAAGGAATCCTTTTTTGATGTTGAATGTTTACTTGATATTTATAATTTAGATGTAATTGTAATAGTAATAAGATATTATTGAAGTTCACGTTACACTAAAATAGAAAGTCAAAACAATAATCACATTTCATCGAAATTAAACTACTTTTTTTGCGAGTTATTACTTTTACATATTTTATGATTTATAAATCAGTTAAAAAGAGTTTAATTTTGACGTATCAATCACTTACTGCGATAATTGTGTAATCTACATTGGTACTAATCTTTAAAAACAAATAAAAGTCCATACCAAAACTGGCAAGTATAGAGATGGTAAAGAGGAATCCAACTGTTTTCTACGGTTTTTAATTATCTTCTGTGAAGTGTCTTGAACACGTCACACTATATTTAGTGGGAAATCAATCGTCCCCTCGACAAGTTGCATCGATCCACATCTTTTTCCTTTCGGGGCATTTAGGAAACCTATTACATATAGCGGAATGATACGATCCTTTTTTTTTACAAAATAAAATGACTTCAGTAAACAAAGTTCGAACGATGACCAAACAAATATCGACTTCTAAATCACAACACTATCAATACACATGCTGTTATTAGACAAAGACAACTATTGTAGTTTACGTAACGAGCGAAAGGGACATTTCAAAATGATCTCAACGGGTGCTTAATTGTTATTACTTTGCACCATTATGTTACCAGTATAAGTTGACCTCCGGTGCATTTGAAATAGGTTAGCGTGAAAAGAATAGAATTTACTTACCGATGAAATGTTATGCCATCTTTTCGATAACTGGATGTCTTAGCTTACTTGCCACACCATTTCACTGCACAGTAAGCCATTTTAAACGTATTAGGGATAGTAAGCTATTTTTAAACTGTCAAAAACTCGGACGTTCCTAAGCGGGTACAGGTTACAAACTTGGCCGCAGAACGACCTCCGTCCTCCATAAGCGCAGGCCTGGGGGTGACAGGTGAGGCCATCTGTCACCCTAGCAGAAGCAGGCCGGGGTGGCGGCGAGCGCGTTGCGAAGCGCGCTCGCTTTCAGGGAGCACAGGGAACATGGGGTTCCCACACGGGGCGGGGGTCGTCTACTCGTCTGTAGATGACCCGAGGTATGTCGGGGCACCAGGGCCTTCCTTTCTAGGGTATACCTGGTTCCCCGGCTATTAGTACCCGGCGAAGGCGTGCGGTTTTAGTCGGTTCGAGTCCGACATGCCACCGACAGGTGGTATCCGAGGGGATTTCCGCACGGAAAAAAAAAAAAAAAAAAAAAAAAAAAAGGTTACAAACTTGGTCGTCACTGAAGTCTTGATTCTTAGCGTCACTTAATATAATAGCTATAGTAAGTATGTGTTGCGCGTCTTTGTGGCTTTGTATGCGGAATCTATAATTCTATATCTGTGTCACTTATTAAATTACTACACTACAATGATTAAAATTTTTACTAACACTCTTCGAATAAGACCTCTAAAGACTAACTTTAAACGTTATTTTATAGCTGATAACTGCCTTCAAATGTATGTGAATTTTCGTTAGTACTCGTATACTGTAAGTAACTAAAAAGTTATGATGAAATGTAGCTCTCCACGTTCACGATCACAATGTGCGCGGCCTTTTTTGGCCAGCGATAAACTTGTAGGTATGTGGCCACCGATAAATAAACTGAATGTTATAAAAATAATTAGTTGCTTAGTTCATTTGTCTACCTGTAAAA